TTTTTTCCTAAAGTTCCTTTTCTAATGAATGTAAATGTCAGGAGCAGTTTTTCCCCCCCCCCCCCCCTTTATTGTGCTGTGTGACTTTACAAAGGCTTTCTGTGTATGTGGAGCTATAAAAAGTTCCTGGTAAAGAGATCTGTCCCTTTAACATAGATTTGTCAAATGTAATGGTGCATTTGAGATGTGGTGCATTTGAGTAGATGCTCAGCTGTTGAAAGTAAAGCAACAATGTCCGTGTCCAGATTGACAGGCCCTGGACCACATTGCACCGAGGTATTAGCCTGCTGTCCTGTGGATTGTGATAGCTGGAAACCAGCTGCTGTCACATGTCTGCATATAAACCTCCTCGCGACATCAGAGGAGCATATTCAAATAGTTTTCCCATTTTTGGCCTAGGTCATTGTTTGTCTAATGCTATTTTCTCTTGCTGCTCAAGGGCACTGTGGCTTAGATTAGTTTTCATATGCAATAATGGTACAAAAAGGAAAGAAATACAACTGGTTATTTGCCTCTTTCATATACATACGTGTAATTTTTTAGGTTAAATTTTAATGCAATTCTGCTTTGTTTTCCTGTTACTGCTATCACATTTTTTCAGCCCTGTGGGAAGTTTTGGACAATATTGCAGAGATGTTTCGGGTGACCTTATAAAAAGTGAATATAACTGTATTTGTTTAATTCTCCTTTGTGGTTTTCAGGCTTGTGAACAGGGATGGGTGTTGAGTAAGGTGGTAACCCTGTTGCTAGCTTCCTTCCAGCCTCGTTCTCTTCGACGTAAACTATTGCTGCTAGTTGCATAAGCAGTTCCTACAGGAATTGCATCTCCCTCTAATTTTCCTGCAGGGACGCATTAGAGAGACTGTTGTAATGAGTCCATCCACTGACAAGAGGAGTCCTTATTAACTGGTGATCGGAGTATTTGGCTTTTCTATCCTGAGTGACTTGTGTGCATTATTTCACAACCATAAAAACTGGCATTCACACAGACACTTGGGGACTTGGCATTTTATAAAGCCCATAAAGAATTCTTAACGGTAATGCCCGTTAATTCCAAAAGGTTAAATGAGGAACACATCTATAGAGGTACCTACAGAAATGTGAGTCAGACTAACAAGTTTCAGCAGGTTAATATACCTGCACACAGACATTTTTGAGGATTAGTCACAAAGGTGGTTGGTTATAAAAGCCACAGCTCCATAATGCTGTCTGACTTGAAAACCAGGAGTGGCTGGGTGAAAAGAAGTAGAAAAGGGATCTAATTACACCTGGGATTAAAAATGCTAGAAACCATCTGGCTATATTTAGTTTTCCTCCATGTTTCAGAGGCATCCTGTTAACTCACTGCTCTACCTCTAATTACATTGTTGAAAATTAGTTCCATGCAGTGAACAGAAAGGACTTTCAAATTATTTTAATTTCTGCCCAGATATAACACAGGATAGAAAATGTATATAGATGGACCGTCCATTCTGGTTTGGTCTGGACAATCCTGGATTTCATAGGCCAGTCCTGGCTGGTTGGTCAAAGTTAAAACAGAAGTCCTGGAATTGCAGGGTGCAGTCCAGTGAGGAGGCAGAGTGCCCCTGCCACTGCCTGCAGCAGTGCCACTGATTTCAGGAGGTACGGCGGGGGCGCTGATGTCCCAGATTTCCTTGTGATCAACTTAAATATATGTAACGTGAACATGCTGTCGGCATTCAAACTGGGTCTCATCCTATGGTAAATTTAATGTTCTATAAAAAATGAAGTCATCTGTTATCCAACTCTGAAATGGAACAGTTCAGGTTAATGTACTGTAGGTAATGTTCAGATTATAGTACGTTGGCTTTCCAGTGTCCTGTGAATTAGCTGTTTGCTAAGAAGTGCACTGGATTTGCTCTTGTTCCTGAACAAGTGGATACTGCAAACTCATAACATTTGGTGGTAAATGTTGAACATTTCTCAAAGTTTTTTCCTATTTTTTTTTGGATAGCTGAAGACTGACTTTCACTTAGCTACTGCACAGGCAAAGAATTTCTATAGAGGGGAAATAGAAAGCTCATAGCTACTGTTGTACTTGGAAATCGGAGTTTGTGGTGGCTTCTGATGCATGGAAAAGTTTTGAAATTTGCATTTTACAGCTATTTCTGTAACTCAGTGAATGTCTATTATAAGGTGTTCTGTCTCCTACTGTGGAACAGTGTTTTGAGAAGTGGTGGTGTGGAAGCATAAAATACCCAGCAGACTTTTTCCGCGCTTTACAAGGCTGCATAACAATTTGGAGTTGACTGAAACGGTTTTAAAGGATGCTGCAATCTACAAAACCTGAAGCTGGCAGCACTACTTGGAGGAAAACTGTGTAATGTATCTGTCACCTGAAAAGTTGATATTTGCTTATCGATCTCAATAGCTAAATTTCTCTTTCTTTTTGAATCCATAGTTGGTGACTTAGTTGGTGACAAAGTCCCTGCTGATATAAGGATTACTTCTATCAAATCTACGACTCTAAGAGTAGACCAGTCAATTCTCACAGGTAGAAATCTTTTTGTCGCTCGAGTTATATATGCGGTTTGCTTGGAAATCACTTTTACGCACTAGTTGCATGATGAGCAATTAGTAACATGCTGTGCTTGTTAAATAAATCACTACTGATGCTAATTATTTTATTGAACAATATGATCTTGCAGCTGGATGAGCAAGCGTTCCTAAATACTTGTAGACAAGCTGCTTCTTGTTGTTGTTGTTTTGGGGTGGGTTGTTTTTTTATTGGGGGGGACGGACTAGGTAGCTTCCTTCCTTCATGGTTTATTTGGATCAATGAGTCATGTTCTTGTGTAAAATGAAACTGTATCCAAGGATACCATCATTGGTATATTGGTTTGTGACACATTTATTTATAAAAATATGGAATACTGGATTACATTATGAATTGCTAATCCAGTTTACGAAGCCTAATGGGTTTGAACAGCTAATATTTTTGGCATATTGCCCAGACCTCGTATCTCTTGGTAAATCACATAAAATGAAGTTCACTGTCAATGATGCCTGCATCATATGTACTTAGAGCGTGTGTCAGGTATCAGTTTACCTCTCCTATAGAAGCAAATCTAACAAATTGGGCGTTTAAAAATACAGAGATCTGTTCTAGGTCTTACTTTGTGAACCTGGTTTGTTATATGTTCGCTATCATAAAATCAACCGCAGAAAAACAAAGTCAGGCAACCCAAGTTCTGAAGATGCTATCAGCTGTTTTCTGGTCTAGCTGTCGTTGTTGTCATCTCTTTCTTTTTGGCCACAGTGTGATCAGAGCCCTTTGCTTCAGGGCGGGGGGAGTTGCCCTTGTTGTTTTAGGGAAGGAGCAGCTTTTCAGCCCTTGAATGCTGGGGCAGTAGGAATGGGACCTGGGTTCAGTGGAGCGTCTCGGTCAGTTTTGTCAAGAGACCCTGATACGAACTTCTCAGTAAGATGAAGAACATTTTACTATCTGAGTAAAATATGGATGGTAACACTCCTTCCCTCCGGGTGTCTAATTTAGTAGAGCAACCAAGCAGCCTGTGAATTTCACCCAGACCAGGAGGGAGTTGCCTTAATTAAATGGCACTGTAATGAGAAGTCTCCAGATTTCACACACAGTCAAAATCTCCTCTGAGCCAGGACCTCTACATTACATTAAGCTCTCAGCCTTGAAAATTGAAAGAGAAGAGTGGTAAACTTGAAAAACGCTGAAAGCCGCATCTATATAAACTAGTTCTTCTTTAAAAACTTTTTGATGTTCACTCCAAACACTGTCTTCTAAAGATGTATTTATTCTCTAATTGTGTAATAGGAAAGCAAACTCTATAGGAAGGCTGTAATCTGCCTTTAATGTAGGTCTGGAATTCACATATTGCACTCTGCCTCCTGAGACTCCTTTCTTAAACTAGAAAATTCACTGACTACCGTGGCAGTGTATCCTCCATGGGAGAGACTGATCTTCTGAAGAAGTACGTGTCATCCATGTGTACTAATGAGGAATACAAAGCAGTCTTATTCTCCCTAAATTTGCTTTCAAGTAGGTGAAAGTTCTTAGTGGCTTGACTTGAAAGTACTGTCTTTACTCAAATGTAAGACAAGGCTCCCCCCAATCAGTGGGGGGAAAAGCCCCTTGTCTTGTGCTCACACATGAAGTGGAGGGGGGTGCAGCGGTTGCTGCAGCTTTGAGTCTGGCCCTGACTGGGACCCGCAGCAGCTTCCTGCCCCGACTTCTGCTTCTGTGCTGCAGCTTCTGCCCCTTGCCCCCTGCCCCTTCTCCTCCCTTTACTGTCAGGTGCAGCTCTGTTTGGACTGGGGTCTCTCCCAGGCAGGGCGCACATGGAAAGTGCTTCCCCTGCCTGGCTGATCAGCGGTGCTGCTACTGCTGCATGGCCAGGGGAGGGCTGAGCTTCTACCTGCTGTGCTCTGAGACACTGGGATGGAGCAGCCTGACTAGCATCTGACAGGAAAGTTGTGGGGAGGAGGCAGAGCCTGGGGATTTGGGGATCAGGGAGTGAAGGGGCAGAGACTGGGGTGGGGGGGTGCAGGAAGGCTGCGGGGGAAGAAATGGGTGGGGCAGAGGGCAAGGGGGCCACCCCCCAGCCACTGCTTTCCCTGTTGTAGCAGCGGGGGCGGGCATTCAAGACAACCCTCCAATGCTTGCATCCTATACCTGGAAAACTACAACAAATGTATACATTTTCCATATATAGGCTCTAATTGTTGGGGGTCATCTTATATTCACACTCATCTTACATTTGAGTAAATATGATAATAAATACCTCCAGGAGAGAAGAGGCTGTGATTTCATTTTCCAGGTAAATACCCAGACTTGTGAACAAGATCTGTTCTGCTCTTTAGCATTGTTCAGTTTTGGAGGTAACTAATACAAAAAAATCCCACCTTGTATAGTGCTTAATGTCTTCAAAGTGTCCTATGTGCATTAATCAGAGTTACCGTGATGCTAATGCTAACCTGGTGTCTGAACTTTGGGTGACTTTTTTCACTAGATTTATTTTCCATAATTATTTTGAGGGAGAATGCAGTGAGAACTGAAATTGGGTGATAAAGCCACATGTTGATAGAGCCAGCAATTTTACAATGAGCCGAGTGGATCACTCTCTCATGGCCTCTTAAAATGAACTAACTTGTGTTGTTTGAAAGCTGGTTCAAATCGAGACCTGCTGATTCCAAAGCTATGAATAACTTGCTTTATGTATGTATGCTTTTGTTAGATATCTGTGTTCTCAGGGCACTGAGTAAAGAGTGCATTCATTATCGGTCAAATTTGACCATGAGGCTTTTGATTCATATTTCAGTCCAGTTACATTCCTGGTTCATTTTTGGGAATTATTCTCGACTATCTTGCAATCGTAGAAGTCCGTATCAGAATAGTAAGCAAGAACCTGGCACACTTGGTTGATTTGGTGTGGAGCAGCAGTGTGTCTACCTCCTATAAAGGGTATATTCATAAGGTGAACTTTGATTAAGGGGGGGAGGAAAGGGAGATAAAACCAACTTTCTTTTTGCATAAAAGGAGGGGAAGTATCTGAGAAACAGGACTAGAGACCTTTTCTCATGAGGAGATACTCCATTAATATAATCTGCCATCTATAGTTTTTAGTCAGGCGATGAACAGTGTTATAAATTGTCTCCATTAGTACAGTCTATACTAGTATGAAAGGATACCAAATAATATTGCAGAATACAGCAGATTTAGGCTCTCTTTTAGTTGGTGAATTTGATCTTCTTTAAAGCATATAGGAAGAAGTAGACTGTAGGTGATACTGGACTGAATCTCCACTGTACATAGAAGCAGAAGAAACGTGGAGTGCGATCTAGCCCTGCTGCAAAGCGGGGTCTGTTACCCTGCGCAGAGCATTATGCTAGTAAGGCTACATGGCTCATTCGGAGCTAACTTGGTTATCTCTGCGTGGCACTGTTTCGCTGTGAAGACGCTTCCCTTATGACTAAATACAGGGCCTGTGTCCTTATGATATCCTCACGCACACGCTTGCGTTGATGGAACTTGCTGTAAATGGCCTCTACTGCATGTGAGCTCTGCTTTGAGCATTTCCCAGATTGGCAAAAATGAAGAATGCAGCAGAATTTCTGAGTAAGAGCTGAAAGTAAGGGAGAAGCCAGAAATCCAGCGAGCATGCTGTTGGTGTTAGGTGCCGGTGTGTGCACATTTCTTTTCATAGAATAAAGTCACAAGCTGTGATGCTTATATTTATATTTTTATAAATGACATTACATTATTTTTAAAAAAAGATCAAAAGATGAAGATGAACCTAGGACTTCCTTGCTAGAGACTTTGCACAGCACGGGAAGGATGTTGCTGTATTCTGAGCAGTAGCCTTGGTCAGGTCCATTTTTGCATAACAAGCTTACATCATATCCCATGCTTGCTCTTAGGCAATCTGCAGCCAGTGCGGTCCCACAGTTGATCAAGAGAAGTCTTTCAACATCTGTGCAGAGAGCAGTCTAATAAATGCCTTTTTTTAATTGCTGATCAGCTATTGTTTCCCTCATAGCAATAGGCCAGGAACATTGAAAATCTCCTTCAAACTTCAGACAGACAGTAAATGATTCCGAAGCACTTAAGTAGCAGAGTTTTAAACTTAAAGCAAGAGAACCTAAACTTGTCTTACACATTCAGGCTGTTATAAAAATCCAAACTTTTTTTTTTTTTTTTTTTTTTTTTTTCAACTAAGGCATCTATTTGTATGCAATCAAATGCTAATGAAAATGTCAGACTTGTGTGCTGTGACAAAGTAGCAACAAGAACAACTGTGGCTGTTTACTTTTCCTGCCTCTAGGCTTTAAAAAACCTTAAAACATCTGCTGCTACAAGAAAATGTGTTTTCCCAAATTATTTTGAGTTTCTTCATTGCATTTTGAAAGCCAAAAATGTCTTGGTGTCTCCTCCTTGTTCCTGGTGTATTACAAATCAGGACAACATTACACTTGAAATTGCTTCATATACGATGGGGATGTCAACCAGCGTAATGCTTTCATGTCTTGTCATAAAAGCAGCGCTGTCTGCCTCCAATTCTAGATTATTCTGGACATCTGTCTTCTTGCAAGGCCATTCTGCTTTTCTGTGAGCTGAAATTATTTCCAGTTTCCATTAAAGTGCATTGTTTTTAATACCATCTTTGCTTGTAGGAAGCTGAATCCAACGGGAAGGTTAAACTTGCACACGTAATGCTATACTTCTTTATTTAGGTGAATCTGTGTCCGTTATTAAGCACACGGACCCTGTTCCTGATCCTCGTGCCGTGAACCAGGACAAGAAGAACATGCTTTTTTCTGTAAGTGTTTTATTTGGCCGGGGTGGGAAATAAGTGCTCTGCAAAGTCCTAAAACTAAGCTGTGCAGTCTCCTTGCTTGTACTGTACCAGCGTAAACTGCCGCCTGCACCAAGCTCATCAGATTGCTGAGGAGCCAGGAGGAATCCCATGTAACTTAGTTTAATACATTTTAGGGAAAGGGTTTACTTAAAACCAAAAAAAGCTAGAGAAACCGAGCGCATGCTTCACTACACAATTGTGTGTCCATCCTAGAAGAATTTTCACAAGATGTTCAGGTGTGAGCATGCTCTTAAATAAAAGCTGCTTCACTTCACCCCCGCGAACTATTGCTATTTCTTACAAGACTGATATGAAGCGACTATCCTACTTTAGTACAATGAAACCAGTAGGGAGCCTTTAATGTAAATCATCTTCGGGGTCTTTCACTGTTTTATTTAGAAGGATAACTTCTTTGAAACAAAGACCTGAACGGTTTCAGGATTAATAAATAACTGAGTGTTTCTTGATTAAGAGGTGTTGCTTTCCCAGGCTTGACTGTCGGTCTCAGTAATGTTGTTATACTTGCAGGAGGCATCCTGTTAGAATAGACAACCTAGAGGGGTTGTGGGATCTCCATCCTTAGAAGCTGTTAAGAGCAGGTTATTCACAAGCGCTTGTCTAGGCTGGTTCAGACCTGGATGATCCTGCCTCGAGCAGGGGCTGGTCTAGATGACCTCCGGACCTTCCAGCCCTACTTCTCTACAATTCTATGAGTAGAAGGGCATTTAATGTGAATAAAGGGGGGCAGACTTGCATCCGGCCATGTTAAGAGTTCTTTCCTCGCTGTCTGAATGGTAAGAGTTGCAACCGCCATAAGCTCCTTGAATATACTGGGGTTGTGCTCAGGCAGCCGGGGGGTGAATTTGGGCATACTGCATAGAAGGATTTATTCAGACTTTCTAACTGAGAGTCTGCATTTGAATACTGACTTTCTGGGTTTGCTGGGGAGACGTTAAGGTTGAAAAAAGAAATGTAGCTGAAACTTGCAACTTCTGGGTTCGTTAAGGTACTTTTATGAACTAGATGTAGGTGCAAATGCCTGGTATGGGCTTTTAATGGATTGCATTTCAAAAACATTAAATAACATTTAAAACTCAACATGGCTAAAGGCAGTGACATTTTGCCCATTTAAAGTTTTGGGACTCTCTGATGTGCTCTATGTGTTATAACAAAAATCACCTTCTGTGCAGGGGTTCCTGTTTCTAATCTTTGTAACCTTGAAAGGTGAAGCACAATGTAAAGAGTGCAGTCAATTTACGTCAGTAGTTCTCACCATTTTTAGGGTGCTGGCACACCCCTCCATTGCTCTGGTGAATTGTGGCACCCTATTTCAATAACTATATTTATTGCAGCATTTAAATCCAGACCTGTTGCTGTCCAAGTAGAATCCAGGATAATTTATCAGGAACCGATAAGTGAAATGTGTGAATTGCATGATCTTTGCCTCTTAAGTTTAGCCAAACTAAGAGCAGATGATACAAGCTGAATCTCGAGTCTGGTTTGTAAGAAGCCGACTTCAGTAGGTCACAGATGATTTAGGAAGCCTTCTGCCTTTCGCCTCTTCAGGGTACCAACATAGCTGCTGGGAAAGCTATGGGAGTGGTTGTCGCCACAGGAGTAAATACTGAAATTGGCAAAATCCGTGATGAGATGGTGGCTACGGAGCAAGAGAGAACGCCACTGCAACAGAAACTAGATGAGTTCGGAGAGCAGCTCTCCAAGGTCATCTCGCTCATCTGTATCGCTGTTTGGATAATCAACATCGGGCACTTCAATGATCCAGTCCACGGTGGTTCCTGGATTCGAGGAGCCATCTACTATTTCAAAATTGCTGTGGCTCTGGCTGTTGCTGCTATTCCCGAAGGCCTGCCTGCCGTCATTACCACCTGTTTGGCTCTGGGAACTCGCAGGATGGCCAAGAAGAACGCTATTGTTAGAAGTCTGCCGTCGGTGGAAACCCTGGGGTGCACCTCTGTTATCTGCTCTGACAAGACGGGTACTCTGACAACCAACCAGATGTCAGTTTGCAGGGTATGTATGGTGAAATGCTTTATTTCCTCTCTGCTTCCTTTTCTCCACAGGTTCTCTGGTACTCAGTGTCCTCTCATGTTAGAGTGTTTGGGAATGAGATCATTCTTGTCCTTGTATCATCAGCATGTTGTTTTATTTGCTGCACTACAATTTGACTTTCCATTTAATTTCCACCATGCTTTTTATATTTAATATTCTCATCTTTCCCTTATTTGGTAATGGCTAAAAATAGTTGCATGCACACTTGAAGGGGGGGGCTCTGCATGTGGAAGTTCTTCCCATTAACTGCCTATATGCCACAGTTGAATTGCAGACATTTCCCTGGGTACAACCAGTCCACAGGTCCAGAAGGGTAGAATAGAGGATATTTCACATGGAAGGTTTCCTAGGCCCTCTTACCATGTCTCTCAAATATTGTGAAATGTTGGTAGAGCCGGAGAATGCTACTGTTTCTTACTGTACCATGTATGATGAATGTTTTTTTGACTTGTTCTACTAGGGACGGCAATTGCTCCCAGCCCTGGTACTGACTCTTGATTGCCCAGTCTTAAATCTAGATCCAAAATGGAGCACTAGCTGAATAGCAGCAACTTTCATGTGCACGTAACTGCCCCCAACACCGCCTCTTTTGGCCATCTTCACTTTTTTTCTCTCTCCTCTGTAATTCATCAGTATTGTTTCTTCCCTGCTCGAATTGCCTTGCTGGCTGGCTGTCAGAGATGGGACTTGCAGCTCCTACCAGAGAGAGGAAGGGTGGAAGCTATTGCGTAGGCAGGACTCTGGTGGGCCCAGTGTCAGACTCTGCAGAAAGCTGAACCTCCCTTGCGTTTCTGCCGCCTTCCCTAGCTTTATGCTCTGGGATTAGAGACTGCTGCAACATTTCCAGCACGTTCTTTTGGTGACAGCGTCACCTTTTGATGCTTGTCTTGCAGTTGAGTAAAGCAAATGATTTGGGTTACTCAAAAATCAAACTGCTTACATTGAATAACCATGGCATGGAATTGCGTTCTGGTTAATGGGCAGTGTGCTCTGTTGCTAGTCCTTCATGCCTGTGTGCACTTGGAAGTTTGAGGAGGGATTTAGCATTTTGTATTAATTCAGTTCCTTCTGCATGAGCAGATATTACAGCAGCAGAGCAGCTGTATTGTATCACTTCAGAGTTATCCTGAGTCACAGAGCCATGTTCAAGATTTGGATCCATTTTTTGGAAAAGCTTATAACTCCGAGCATCACATGTTCTGTTACTTTCATGATTAATGGCAGATTTTTCTTCTCTTTTTTTAATTGGTGTTTGCAGATGTCTTGCTTGCTATTCTGCCACAGTTGAGTATTATAGTATTTATACCTAGGAGAGAGAAAGCAGCTGCTCATCAGTATTCTGGAAGAGGTTACTTGCAGTGGGATTGCATAACTGCCCTGCTCTTTGCAGGGAGTCTTTCATCACTCAGATGCCAAAAAGCAGAAAGCTTCCTTGTTAACTTCCCATTCAAGAGCTTTCAGATTCGTTTATAAAACTTTTTGGGGAATGCATTATTAGGTGTCCTTGTATTTAGAAGGTTAAGTGTTCTGGATCCTATGTAGCGCAGTTTGCTCTGTCAGCGGTGTCAAATAAATTGGGTAACATAGGTAGTCTTCACAGGAAATTTTAAAGTGGCAAATGCATCCTAGCACGTGCAAGTAACGCAGCTACATGTGACTTTGCATAAGCAAAGAGGCTGCTCAGCTTTTCAAGAAGTCTTTGCCCCACTCCATTTGAGATTTATCTTCTGCATAGTGTGCTGAAGCAAGTGTAGCTCCAGGAATTTTACCCTGAAATATTTGTATCTTTGTTCAGTACATGTTTTCAGGATAAAATGTAAAACGTGCACAGTTGTGAGGGGTTTTTTCCCTTTGTTCCTCCAGTTTACAGCTGCAGGGTGGTTTTATCCTTGATTGCATCTGTGAGCAGAATACAGTGAAAGTGTTTCGCTTCATTTCTGTTCTTACCCTTTTGAATATTGAGGGGTACGCAGGCTAGCAAACTGTTGCAGTGTTGAAGTGGGGCTGGGGACTTAGCCCTATTTCAGTCAAACTAAATGGCCCGAGTTTAACTTGCGGTGAGGGAAGAGTGGGCAGGTGGACAGGTTGCCGTGGAGCAGCTGCTGTGTGAGGAGGCCCTGCTCGCTGAACGCTCTGATCATTTCTCTTTTCATCTCTATGTCTTTGTATTATATGCCTAATATCACAATTGCCCCTGATTTGAATCAGTTAAGTGTGTGTGTGCAATCCATAACAATTTTATTTTTGTGAACTTTTGTTACAGATGTTTGTCCTGGATAGAGTAGAAGGAGACAGCTGTACACTGAATGAATTCACTATTACTGGTTCAACGTATGCTCCCATGGGAGAAGTGTAAGTACTTTTTATTCATGCAAAATGCCTCTGGACAAACCCCTTCAGACTCTGGCAGCTCAGACTATATGGCGATGCCTGATGTTTTTAATATAAAAAGGGTTCTCAGCCAGCCAAAGTATGCATATAAACCCTAAGGCTCAAGAAAAGTATTTAGGCCTAGAATTGTATGTTTTGAAACATTAAATCAAATGGTAAATTGAAATCCTAGAAAACCAAAATGTCATGAACACAGAGTTGATGAAATCTTGGACGTAGACATCCAAAGAGTCTTCCTTTGTGAACATTTTCTAGGTTTTAGTTTATTAAATCACTAAAATATTTCAATCTGAAATCCGTCCTGTATGAGAGCTGAATTCTAGGTCTGAATAAGTAAATCTTGACCCAGCCCCTCGGGATTTTGGTAGGCAATCCACTCGCCGTCTGTTTACAGCCCTTGCTGGTTGTCAGTTGGTTCTGTTCTAGGACTGTGACTCTTCAAGTTGCACAGGTTCTGGAATGAACCTTTTCAAACAATGGCACGTGATCAGCATCTCTAGTACCTGTTGGGTCAGCAGTTCAGCATTTGGATCCTTTTTTCTGGTATTTTCTACAGCTTTTTGATGTGTGCTTAATCTGAATGTATACACTCGAAACCTCTGGCTTTGAAAAAGTGTGGGTGACTTCTGCCAATGTTAATAAACAGTGTAAGATTAAAATGTAGGGTTGGGAGATGTTTTCATCCCTGATACTTTGGGAATGCCAGAATTCTAGTCCAGGGAAAGAATTCCTGTCATCAGAGAACAACTGAGCAAAAGAAGCTGCACAAAAGTCCTCAGTAGTTGTTTTGGGGGGTTTTCTAGCAGTTGAGATGCTTATGAGGATTTAGTTTCAACTCATTAGCCAAGTTTTGTAATATACATTCTGCTACATTTTTTTTTAAATACTTTTCCTCAAAGATCTTGTAAGATTTCTGGCATATCTCCAAAAAGTTATGCATGTCCTAGCAGTATCAGTAGTAATTATCTATTAATTTTCACAGCAGTTGGGACCGTAGTCGTCTCAACATTGAGAAGTCTTAAATTCCCCACATCTATCTGTCTTTCCAAAGTTATTTGCAAACTAGACCTTGAATTTCTGCTTCAGCAGATAAGCTTAGGCCATCAGATCTTTGTGGCAGTTTCCTGTACGTAAAGGATTTGTCATGTACTTGAATGGAGTTTCTTAATATGTCTGTTCAGATGTGCCCAGCTGCAGTGAGGGGTGTGGAATGCCAGCGTTAGTGGGGTGCCAGGTGTATGTCCTTTGGAGCAGTCACCTGGCCCGAGAGGCTGGAAGTTTGGGGGGGGGAGCCACTGCCCGCAAAGGGAGTCTGGAACCCCACTGGGGGCTGGTGTCTGTGGCAAGGGGCATGCAGTGGCTGTGTTAACCCTTGGGACTGCTGCTTCATGCAGATCAGCTGGGGATAAGTCAATGACTGTCAGAAAATGAGGGGAGATGTCAGGATTTTTATTATTTTATGTAAAGCATGGAGGTGGGCACTTCACTCCACTTGTTATAATGTTACCTTGCCTTTACCACCAGGAAGTTCGCTAACGGATAAAAAAATACTTGTATTAGGAGAGCAAAAAAAAAAAAAGAGGTTCCAAAGCTTGTAGAGTTTGCAATATAGCAGAACAATGCTGGGAGCTTGCTGTGTAGCTTGAGTTGCTGTGTGCCTACCTTAAGACTTGCTGGATAGAAATGGCCTTATTTTTCAAGGAAAGCCCACAAGGGAAAAATGGCTGTGCTGGTGGAGAGTTACTGTTTATTAACACTGGCAGTGGAGGAGGTCCCCAGTATTCCGTAGCTTATAAAAAAAATACTTGGCAGCAACTGCCATAACGTCTCAGTAATTCTTCCTTGCTACTCTTGAGGTATGCCAGTGTCCCAGAAAGTGCATTACCGTGATTAGTTCTGATTGTGAAAAATGCAACTCTGATGTGCAACTGTTGCATTTACGAGATATCATGTTGTCGCAGTGCAACAGACCGCTCCACACCCATCTCAAGTTCACAATCAGAGGTAGAGTGCTGTGGCAGAGTTTGACTTTCCTCTCCAGTGGAAAACGGGGTGCTCACCTGCACTCGTGTTTTTAACTGGTCTGAGGATCATGCGCACTACATATTAAACAGGCTTTCTAAGGGTCTCAATTTAGTGCCCGCAGATTGGCCTAGCCCATACGTAGGGATATATAAACAAGATATGCAACAAAACCGAGGATGTTAAATTCTTTGTTTTTCAAACCGTAGCATCACAGCTGCTTTCTTCTGTTGCCTGGGACTTCTCATTGTTTTTCTGTCTTCTCTTGCATCAAACTCAAGCTCATGGCCCTTTCTAGGTCCTTCAGGCTCTGCCACTGCTTTCATTTTCTCCTTTACTCCCTCTTTAGAGTGAGAGGCCTAGAAGGGAAAGTGGAATCAGAGGCTAATTGGCCGTATGATTACGGCTGTGACTGCACTGGGAATTGGGGGAAGTGTTTTATTCCTCTCGGAGCTATGAACCACCCATATCACCTTTCACAAATCGTTTAACTAGGCTCTTACTTTGTATCCCAGAATTTAAAATATCCCCTTTCTTTTGCTTGCCTACAAAGTCATTTCTCCCTCAGACCTACTGCTTCCAGGAATTCTTCCCAGGCTTATTTTCAACAATAATCACACCACCTTCCTTTATCGGCACTCCTGTTTCTGAACTGTTCTCATCTTTGTCTTGAGCAAAAGGAATGCATCTTTTTTTTGGTACTTAAAAATGTAGACTGTATTTTAAAGCCTAAATAGTTTCTAACAATGGTGGGGAGGGGGGAAGAAATGAAAGAAACGTGACCCACTGAAACTGAAAATTGTCACTGCAAGGAAGGAAGAAATATATCCTAAAGCTTGACTCCTTTGTGGAAAAAAGAGAATAAAATAAAACCCAGGCACAATTTTTCAGTCTATTTGTTTAAAATTACCATAGCTTTAAATGGAGCTTGTCCCTTCAGGACAGACGGTGTGCGTGGAAATCTGGAGTAGGTGTCCCGCAGTTGCCGTAGGGCCTCATGTTAGACTCCGTGCTGAGCACCGACTAAACCGTGTTTATACCGTTCGATACGTAAAGGCAGTGACCGAGGGGAGGAAGGAGTGAGATGCAAGAGCACTGAATTGTGATGTGACTTAGTAACCTTGTGCTTCCGTTCCTTTTTTCGGACAGGCACAGAGACGACAAACTTGTGAAATGTAGTCAGTTTGATGGCCTTGTAGAACTAGCGACCATCTGTGCACTTTGTAATGATTCTTCTTTGGATTACAATGAAGTAAGTATGTGACTCTGATACAGAGGGAAACCAGAATTAAGTTAAATCTTTGTTCTTTGGCCTCATTTTGTCTCTTCCTCAGACATGGCAGGCCTGGCCGCCTCATTTCAGTGCAAGACCCCAGTCCCGAGCGCCACATCACAATATTGCGGTCACTCCACTTCTCTTCTGGTGAAGGGAGAACATTTAATCCCTTGAACTGGTTAATGCCACGCTTTTCTGGCAGAACAGTGTTGAGCAGCGCGAGTGTAAAGAGTGAGATGAATCTAAATCTGAGGCCCGTCTTCCACTTCGTTGTGCGAGGGCGCTGCCACTAGACTTGCCTTGCCTGCCTGAGATCTTGGCTTTTTAAAGCAACTACTTGCACTGTTCAGGATCTAGCACTGGGGATGTAAATAAGTGAAATGCTAGAAAACCAGTCTTGAAACAAGACATTTTGGTTAGTGGCACTTAGGTGCCTTTAAAAAAGTTTTTCCTGATTTTACTGTTAGGTTCAACAATATTTGCCAAGCATTGTTTCCCTTTGTTATATATATCACTGGAAATCTCACTGTGGTGACCTGCCAAAAATAGTGTGTGTTGTTTTTTTTTATATAAATGTATGTATTTTTACAGTAACTCATTCTTTGTTTATTTGAAGGCTAAAGGGGTATATGAAAAGGTTGGAGAAGCTACGGAGACTGCACTGTCCTGCCTGGTGGAGAAGATGAATGTATTTGATACGGATTTGAAAGGACTTTCCAGAATTGAACGTGCAAATGCTTGCAACTCGGTCAGTGCTTTCAGCTAGGCTACTGCAAACAAAGCTTGTTCCCAGGTCTGTTTGTTGTAATCTAAATGTAGTGTTACTGCTTGTGTCCCTTGCACAGGTCATAAAGCAGCTTATGAAGAAAGACTTCACTTTGGAGTTCTCGAGAGACAGAAAGTCCATGTCTGTGTACTGTACCCCAAACAAACCAAGCCGGACATCGATGAACAAGATGTTTGTTAAGGTGAGCTCGGATCGCTAGAAGTGCTGCTCTGAAATGGCTGCAGAAGCTGCGTGATTTTAAAGTTGTGCCCACATCAACTGTCGTTGAACTGCTGGAATGAATGAGAATCTAGTGCTCTCTCTCCTAGAGATGGGCAACTCTGACTAGTAACTGTGCTGGCTTGCTTTGCTTTTGTAGGGTGCTCCTGAAGGTGTAATCGATAGGTGTACACACATCCGTGTTGGAAGCACAAAGCTGCCCCTAACGTCGGGAATTAAGCAGAAGATAATGTCTGTCATTCGAGAGTGGGGTACGGGCAGAGACACCCTGCGTTGCTTGGCTCTGGCAACGCATGACAATCCACCAAGGAAGGAAGAAATGAATCTTGAGGAGTCTGCAAACTTTATTAGTTATGAGGTTAGTGCTTCTGTCTCCTGTTTCAGCATTTTCTTCTGGCTGAGATATGGCGACTCATTGAGTTAGGTGGGGTTTTTCTGGTAGTCTAAGAGTGGTGTAGCCATGATGGGCCAGAAATGATGCAAGGGCCAAAGATTTCTTAGGGTGATGGCTTTTCACTGGACCAACTGTGTAGGTGGGATAGAGTTTAGATGAGCTTTCAAATGCAAGATGCTGATCATCAGGTCCTGTGTTGTGTTTGAAAACTTGTCTAATTCTATCCCAACTATACAGTTAGCCCAGTGAAAAGACATCGCCCTAAGAAATCCCTGCCTTCCTTCCCCCGCGGCCAATGCAGCTGGTGAAATAGAGATGGCCCAGGAGCAGTAGAAAATCCTGAATTGAAACTAATGATTTTTGAGATGCTTTGGCATGCCATGAAAACAGTATTTACTGGCCTAGCAAAGAAATACTCGTGAATGTTAATTTTCCTACTAAAACTTCATGCTTTCCTGTTTCAGACCAACCTGACCTTTGTTGGCTGTGTGGGGATGCTGGATCCCCCCAGAATTGAAGTCGCTTCATCTATAAAGTTGTGTAAGCAAGCTGGTATTCGAGTTATTATGATTACTGGGGACAACAAGGGCACAGCAGTAGCCATCTGTCGTCGCATTGGTATATTTGCGGAGGATGAAGATGTTTCTTCAAAAGCCTTTACTGGACGTGAGTTTGATGAACTTTCCCCAGCTGCCCAGCGAGATGCTTGCCTACATGCTCGTTGCTTTGCCCGCGTAGAGCCTTCCCATAAGTCTAAGATTGTTGAGTTCCTTCAGTCTTTCGATGAGATTACGGCTATGGTAAGTAATTAGAAGTGTGCGCGTCTTGTAAAAGAAATGTCACTATTAAGAACAAATTGTCTAGTCAAACTAATGCCTAAATAGTTTGGCAAACTGTTGATTAACTCCCTTTTTGCATAAGAAGGACCTTCACAGGACAAGAGAGAAATTCTCTGGCACTGGCTCGGAAAACTTGTCTTCCCTGACAAGTGAGAATCAGTTTTCACCCAACTAGTGATGCTTTTGTCAATCGTTGTTTCCATTTCCATTGTTTCCACTTAGAAAAGTACTGCAAAGTGCACTGTTCTTTAGCAAGTTAATTGTAAGAATTACTTTATTGTTTCCATGCAGTTCAGCCTCGTTTCCTAACATTTACAAAATGTAGATGCTTAGAACCCGTTTGTTCCTTCAAGCACGTTGTGTATCCCCCCCCCCCCCCCCCCCCCCAC